CTTGAAAGTTTCGATAGATCGTTAATGCTCTACTCCGCTTGCTCTCCATCGATTTGTTACTCGACAAATGCTTGATTGTGCGTTGTAAATCTATTGAATGACGTTCGTGTTTCTCACTGTTGGAGAATCACCGTTCGCTCAATTAGAGGAGCGCGGATGAAATAAAGAAATCACGCGATCGATTCGGAGCGATCAACGTCGACCATTAATCTTCAGGACATTCATTTAACCACGCCAGAACTGCTACCCCCTCGTTCAATTTCCCACTAATTACATTCGTATTCGAGAGCGGAACTGGTTGTGGCACCAGTTACAGCTTAGGGAGCCGACTGCAAGTACGGCCAAACAGGTGGCAATGCTCGTTCTGGGTCTCACGGGTCTTCTACCGGGGAACTAACGTGATTACCGCTCGTTTTTGGCTACCCACGTACGCTTCAAGCAACCGATGCCACCGAATCTCGATTCCGTTTCGTCGCGTCGCTCGTCTACTTCTTCTTTCGATTACACGAAACAACGCCTACTTCTTCCGTGTAACTGTTCGAACGAGCCAAGACTACGGTATAGAATCAATTCAGAGTATTTTCTAGTTAACGATGGTGCATCGGTAAGTAGGTACTGTTACTTTGCGAAGTAAAATCAACATTTACTATTAATAAGACGTCTATACGGTAAGGATAGATTGAATTTCGCAGCCTCGAATCGCATAATCGAAAAACGATATTCAAAGGAGAGTAAATTTAAAGGAATGCGTCTCGATTCCGGTAGAACTCGTGTTCGTTCGTAGAATCGTTAAAGCCCGTCGACGACGACGACTCTTAGTTCGCACACCTCGCGATCTTGGTTTCGGCTTGCTGAACTATGCGTGTGCCGACAACAGGCTTGCGAGCCACCAGAGCGTACGACCGAGAGCGTTGTCACCCGTGCCGCGTGATAAACTGCTGGCCGCTAACTACGCGAATTATTCCAAGTAGACGTCGTCGTCGTCGTCGTCGTCGTTGCCATCGTCGTCGCGTTAGTTCCTGAAGAAGTTTCTCCGCAGATCTCTCGGCTCGAGCTCGAACGCTGGTGAAACGAGCGAGCCAGAGTGGATGCGAATCGCAAGATAAGGGTACAAGCATGCACCAGACTCTCCCGGTACTTGTTTCGGCGATGTTTCGTGTAGGAATACTATTGTCGTTTTGCTTTAGTAAAATTCAACGCAAACGAGATCACTGTTTCGTCGTTTCGTTCTGTTAAACGAGCGGAAACGAGCGAGACGGTAATTAGTGGACGGTTCAAGGAAATTTCCATAACAATGTAAGAATTATGAGGTTAAATCGAGCGGTTATAATTCTCGTAGATCATCGAGATATCGATATGCGCGGGACACGAGTTTACCGTGACGGTAACGAAGGTTTTGAATTATTATAACAGCGGCCGATCGAACGATATCTATTTAATGGGTAATCCCTCTGTATCGAAGTGAATCGAAACACGCGTTACAAACGCTTGTCACCAATCGACGAGACACTTCCCTGTAACTCGATTCCATTAAATTGTATTACGGATTTTCCCATCATTCCCAAATATAACGTACCGGGTATTTTTAATTATCACGTTTCGAAAACGCTTTACGAGTTGAAAAATTGCTGGTATTACAGGTCGGCCCATTCTCCCCCATCCCGTTGCGCGACTGTTTTTTCCCCGTCGTTTTAAATCTGTCCTCTTGATCTCGTTAATATGACCATTTTAAATATTCATATGAAAATTTGCGAACGCGTTGATGCCGAGCAATGCCAGCTGCCGGGCAGAGTGCTGTGTTACCGTTGGTCTAAAAGATGTTAATTTCGTGTAAAACAATAACTTGCATAATATCTACCTATGTATTTTATTTTGATGATACTCCATCACACTGTACGTTAGATTTTTCCTGAAAATTGCTCTCTATATCCGGGTCTAACTCAGTGTATATTTCGAAATTAATTGAAAAAGAGAGGAAAAGAAAATATCGAGCAACACTCAAAGAGATCGTTCTGTTGGCGACTAAATGGCTGGAAAGGCAGCAACAGAGAGAGAAATTGAATGGCAGTGGTTGGTGTTGGTAGTGGTAGACGGTCGAGTAACGTTAGGCGAGTTCGAATGTATGCGTTACATAGGGCCGCCTATTTTCCAGCCAGCCCTGAAATTATCGGCGCGGTCTGAGCGAGGTCCATTGATTACCACTGGTAATTGCCATTACAACCCCCATCTACCGGCACCCCTCTCCCGGGTTCGCTCTTCACGGTACTCGAGCCAACCCCCTAACCGTTGCACCGTAGTCCCGCGAGGGCTTGGATATATCCTCTGTATCGGCATTGAAAGTCAACCGTTTTAACGCGAACGCACCAGCAACCCTTATTCCAGCGCCTACAATCGTGTGCTTCGAAGCGTATCGCACTCGTTTCTCGAATCGTCATCCTCCTTCCTCTTTAATTCGAACCGAGTCGATCTGAAAATTTATTAATAGTCGTTTAATTAAAAGACGGCGACGTTTCAATGCTTTCATTGTCGTTCCACGGAAAAGAAAACATCGTGCGTTTTCCGTTGAAACGTTCTGCAGCGAAAGGGTTAAACACCTTTGCGCTGGTTAATCGAATTGATTGATCGAGCTAGAGGTTTTAAAGTTCATGTTTGCTCGTAAATCGAGTTATGTAATCTTTGCAGCGATTCGTTTTTTCGAATCAAGGGGGAAGGAAATTTTTTATTTTGTAACTTTATGATTCATGGGTTGAGAGTAAATGAGAGTTGACTTGAATTACGAAGCACGCGAGATTAAAGATAAATTTGTAGCAATTATGCAAGCTCGAAGTTTATTGATGAAGAAGATTATAAGATTGAGACGAAGTCGGTTGAAAAAGGGAACAGAGCTACTTTGCATCCACGTACACCTACGTTAAACGATACTGAATGTTGTACCATTAAATTAATGTTACTTACATTTTATATTACAGAGAACACCTTCATGGTACATTATTTTTTACTTTTCTTTACTACGATATAACCAATAGATCACTGCTTTCTTTTACCATAAACAAACCATAATTTGCTTATAACTCGTGTCACGTTATAGATATTACGAACACGTATGGTATACTGTAAATGTGTTGAAAGCATTGTACAGGTCGTAAAATGTATGCAGTCTCTAGAAAATGGTATCGATCCATAGGTCACTCCACGTCGAGGTGGTTACGAAGTTGACCCACCCTAATCACCAAATCCTAACCACCCTTCCATTAAATTACCTCGTCAAGCCGTTACCAACTTGACAGACGGCTTTTGATTTTACTTAAACTACCTACTTCTCAATCAGTTGATTCAAATTTTAAGAAACTTTTGCACGCTGACAGATTACAAATATTTAATTGAAAACATTTGCATATTCCTAATACTCGTATTACATTTAACCAAACGTAACGCGAGGAATAGTTTTATTCCTTTTACAGATGTTACAACTATATCTTCTATACTCTGCACCTTTTATCTCCATAAGTAGGTCAAAGTGATCCTGAATCAGTCGCACGTGAGTTAAGATCCACGTTCTATAAAAATTGTACGTTCGAGGGAAGTTGAAAAAAAAAAAAAAAAAAAGAAAAAAGAAAATCGTAGCATTGTTCTTTACGAGCCACCCAGCTCGATACGAGACGAATGGAAGAAGCTTAGTCGAATATATGTATCTCTGGCGGCTGTTCGGCGAGAATTGTAACATTATTTCGGATTTCATACAGTTTACGACGAAGCTTGATCGTTTAACGTAGTTTTTCCCGTCGCAGCAACAAATAACCAACTGCTCCTCTGTATCCGCTTAAAGCAATTTTTTGACTGACTATTTCGCATCCTAGGATCGATTCTACATAGTAACTACGCGAGATACCTCCGAATTGTAAAATCCGTACTGATCGTTTCGCCAACTATTTGCTGTTTTTTTAGTTTTATTTTCCCGGTGACGTTGGACGAGACAAAACTGTCCGAACGAGAAAAACGAAAAAGTTCGGTTTCAAATATCGATATTCGATCGGTGTACTATGTATTTTGGCCTCGTCATATCCGCGGACTATCTTCGAGTGACGTTAAAATAAAACTCGCGTGAAAATTTGAACGTCATGTCAATTACACCGTGTCTGTAAACTGTTGCAAGGAATTGCGTTCGTTTAAAATGTAAACGACCCTTTTCGGACGCGTTTTCGCGTACGTGATTCGGGTTTCGCCAATCCGATACAACGAACACCTAGAGGGTCGTTCAAAAAAGGAATATTGGTATTTTAAACGGCTGCAACTTTGGTTCGTTGAGTTTTCATTTTGTTCTTACATTCTTTTCTCTCGCATATACTATACACGGTATATCGGGTATACGGTTAAAAGAGAAAATCCGGTGTTCCAATGTTAATTAATCTGTGAAAACGAAAAAACGAGACGCGATCGGTGTATCGCCTTGTCGGACAGGTTACAAAAAGCAAAGTGATAAGCATTTGAAACGCGGTTATTCGTTTTGAATAACCTTGTAGGGTGATAGGTAAAAGAAGAGAAGGAATGAACGAAAGGGAAATATAAAGGTGGGTGGCAGCGGCGCCGTAACCTCGCTGATAAAGCATCGAATACGTTGGATGTATGCAGGTAAAATCCAAAATAACGAAAAAAGCGAGAGAAATATCCAGGTTGGCTTATCCGACCCCGGTCCGGGAACGAATATTCCAGGGAAAAAATATCATCTCGCTTTAATCCGCAAGCGATCGTACCCACACGCGAGTCGATACTATACGCACGGTCCACGATTCGAACGAATTTGTTCGAAGAACCCCGTTCGAACTGGCTTCCTATCATTTCCTGACTTTTCCTCGGCTCTCAGGGAATGTATCGTTGCGATAGGCTAACTTCTTCGTTCCTGTTTTCTAATCAGTATATCTTGATTATGAATGGTATAAGCATAAAGATTTCAAAATGAATAGAAAAAATGTTAACAATCTGTTTTTTTGTTTTGCTTTCAGTACCACCGGAACAACCAACTATCCTGGATCAATGGGGCAGGATAGTAAACGGAACGGCAGGACCCTACGAGGAGGGTGACACTCCTTCTCTAACGTGTCGTGTAACCGGGGGTAAGTTTATCAAAAACTGGCAATGGGTAAAAGAAATCATTTAGATGGTGGCATTCATACGCGCCATTCCATTCGAACGAAAAACGTTCTTCCCGTCCATTGGCTTTAGAAACTTTCTGTCCGTATCTGACAGTGTCTAAAAAAATCCCAACAGTTTTCCTTCCTTCGAAAACTCTCGAATCCAAGCGAACCATCCGAGATACGTGAAATTTCGGTAAACGGCCGTAAACTTTGGTAAAGTTTCGGCAACTTTTTAACAACGCCATACACCAGGATTTCGAAATTTTTAGCCCGAGTAAACACGAGTTCCGGTGACCAGGGACAACCACCGGGGAATGAAAAACTTTTCTCTTTTTCTACCTGCTGGATGTTATCCTAGTCGAAGATCGCTGTTGAACTCGACCACGAAATCGTTGGGAAAAGTTCGATCGAAAGACCGTGAAAAGGGTGTAGGATGGTGGGATGTTTTTGGTGGGGTCGAAGGAGTCACCGGTGTCGTCGGTTATTAGATCGAGCAAGTTTTTATCGACGAACGAGGCTAAGTGAAAAGTTCCACGTTCGTAAGGATGCGAGACTGGAAGGAAGGAAGGAAGGAAGGAAGTCCTACCTCGAGGAGGTGGTAGGGCAAGGGTGAGGTAGGATCAAGCGTTCTCGAGTGAAACGGAAGGGGAGGAAGTACCAAAGTAGCTAGGTTCCGGTGTTTACTTTGGCAACTGGATCTAAATTTCTGTTTATAACTGCGGCAAACTTCTTCGGCTGCCTTAAAAGATTATTTCCTCCCCTCTTCTGGTCTCTGCACCCCACTTTATCCTCTTCCACGCCCCTTGTGCCTACATCCCTTCTACAAGGAAGACGTTTTCCTCTTCCACGGGACGGTTAAACGTGTTTGCATTTTCTACTAGAATTTCGTCATGACTTTTCTCCTCTATGTTATAATGTAACGAACCACTAATTTTCGCTTCGCCAAAACGAAATTTTACCATAAATATTATTTTAAGCTAGCTAAAGTGTGAACAGATATACTTGACTACGTCAAGACTTAAAGGGGAACTATCCAAGTGTTACACTCACTTATTAATGAGACTTTGCCAGCTTGTAGAGCTCATCGAGCTGAACACGCCTATACCCCCTTTTGGGGGCAGACAGCTAATTGTTTAAAAGATATTAACAATTACAGTTAGTTACTCCTTACATTCTGAAGTATGACAAACTTACACATACAACTCGCAATTTAAAGATCCACGGTTCAAACTCTTGGTTCCCAACATTTCTTTTTTTATTTTTTAATAATAATTTGTCGCTTTTTGAATAACTATTACATAAAAATTATCATAAAAAAAAAAAAAAAATTGTTGAGAACCAAGGATTTGAACCGAGGACCTTCGGATTGCGAGTCATGGATCCGCTCCGTGGTTAAACACATGACTCGCAAACTAAAGGTTCTCGGTTCAAATCCTTGGTTCCTATTTTTTTTTTTTTTTTTTTTTCCTTATTAATTCGTCTCTTTTTGAATAACTAAAATTCTATTTATATAATTCGTCATCTTCTCATCTCTGCACAGTGTGTTATGTAGCGAAACGGAGGATGCGCGAATTACGTAAAAGGCGGGAAAATCGTTTGGTACGACGTATCGTAAAGTGGATAACTATGGTACAAATATAGAAGTGGCCGACCACGAATTCAATACTCATCGTCGGTCCCACGTTTCGATGAATACATCGAAATTCGAAGCGAGGAATATTGCCGTATGCAGATTCGATGGGAATTGCATCGAAGCTGCGCGCATCGATCATACGCACTGCGGCGTATAAATTGAATATCGAGAAGATCGGCTTATCCTTAACAATACGCTTGTGGAACCGCTGCAAACGGTTGCGAACGATCCCCTACGAGTGAGTCTAGAATTTTCATTTAATTGTAAATCATCCCTTAAAGAGGGGAGAGAAAGGCTTTTAATAATAAAACATTCGCCTTTTTCCTACAAGTTAGGTTTACTTATGACATTAAGTTTACGGGCAATGTTGATTCGAAAGGGTTCAAACTTTCTCTACAAATCGGCTGGACTGCAATCTTCATAAAGTATATGAAAACGTGCGAACAGATCCCCGGGAATGAAATTCAAGGAACGATCCGTACTTGTCGCGATTCTTCTGGTTTCACTGCAAAGTTTACTGCAAGTTTCGCAATGCAACGATGCAATAAAAACGCGTGAAACGCATTCACGGTTCGACATTCATTTTCATTCGTTCAACCTAGCTCCGCGACGAAGAAGGATGGGAAAGAGGGGAAAGGGGGTCGGGGGTGGGTGCAGGGGATCGTTTGAAACGAAAAACTGAAGCGGACACGTCGCGTTAATTACACGAGACACGCGTTAATACGCGAGCTTTATCTTTCTCTCCGGGCCGTACGATAAATATTTCGCGGCGTTTTCGACGCCAGCAGCGATTAACTATAATTAACCGACACGAGGAACTCTCGTGGATGAGAATTTATGCGTTGATCTCAAAGCACGAGCGGTTGAAAAAAAAAACAAAAAAAAGGAAGGATGCTTTTCAATTTCAGCGACGCGTTTCATGCACCTGTATTCGGAATTACGCTAATTCTTCTTGTCGCCGAACTCGCCATCGAAAATAATTGTTGAGAGGCTTTTGATATCGATTAAAGAATGATCGAATCGTTTAAGATCGCGTTTTCAACGTTATCAGAATAATCTTTGCGGTTACAAGTAGATGAAACTTTCCTTCTCGTACGTCCACGCGTTTCGCTGAACCGCTCTATTATACACGATTTACAACTAATCGTAAGTAAGCCTATCCTCCCACCGTAGTGCACAGTGTTATCTATAATTTATGGCAGTGAGAAAATTTTACGACTCTGTCCGGCTTGCTGAATTTATTGCCAATTACTTAACTTCGTGCCCGGAAAGAATCAAGGGTCCTTTCTCGAGGATGTATATACACGTAAAGGTGAAGCGTTTCAACCCCTGTCTTTGACCGCGGGTATCATGCAAGGATCGACACTATTCTCTCGCTTTTTCACTATGTATTTTCTACAGAATGTCTCGAAAAGACTTGCAAATCCTCCATTCTAAGATGCATCATTTTCGAGATATAAACGATTAAAATAATGTTTCCTAAATCTATGGGAATTTCTCTACCATATTTCGATAGTAACAGAGAGAAATGTCATTGTTTAGTGGTAAACATAAACGTAATTAATAAATATGTGAAACATTAATTAGATGTAGCTAATTGTTAAATCGGTTATACCTATAATTACTATTCGTTTGAAGATTAAATATTAACTGAAGCTTTACAGGGGAATAGAATTCGAAATTGTAATTGCTTATTCATCTCTACAGATATGTTGGGAATATAGAAATCCATTGCCAACGTATCGTGCTAATAATTAATGTAATTAAACTGGAAATAGTTGCGCTATTAACCCATTCGCCAGTATCTGAATCGAAATTAATTTCTCATATGTGTTTTGTCTTGAAAATTTACTGTAGTTATTTGTAGTAACCGAATCAAAGACCAATTTCCAGATTTTACGTTTGCATGAAATTTAATGGTTTTTTCCTACGAAAAAGATAAATAAAACACGTAGAATATTTTTGTTCCTGTTGGTCATCGGAAACGTGGGGCACCGCAACGAATCAGTTTACTCAAATAATTATCTTGCAGAAATCACTGGAACGGTTCTCTTCTCTCCCTCTCTCTCTCTCTCTTTTCTTTCATCTTCCTTTTTCTTTCGCGTCATCGAGCCCGATGCACTTTGCCTATTTCCCTTGGGTGCACGCATAATGTCTCGGGATCGCAATCTGCCGTCAACGTACTGGCCGAGTACAGGAAATGTTTATTTTTCAATCCTCCTCGCGGAACCGGAACTCGCGCCGCCATAAAAGATATTAAAAATTATTCGAGAGCGAACGCAGAGCACGAGGACGCTTAAAAAGCGAGTTAAATAGAGGATGGTATCTATGCTCTGATATGCATCGTCATCAGTTGCGCTTTGCCCATTAAAAATATTGCAAATTTAGCATTTTTTTTTTTGTTCTTTTTCACACTCGGTCCGATTGTTTTCTCTGTTTACCCTCTGGATTACTATTGCTTGAATTTTCAAATATTGCAGTTACTCTTTAAAATTCCTACGTTGAACAGCGTAGCGGTGAACAGTTGAGGTACAGGATATTCCTGATTCGCTGGTTCATTCTCTCCTCGCTTATTGTTAGCGAATCGAAAGACGGTCGAAATTTTCTAAAGAATATATACATATTATATACTTGGAATTCTATCGGAAAGGAAAACCTCGTTGCATTCGTTGAGCAGAGAATAACAGACAAGGAGAAGTCGGCTTATCGACGCTTCCCCGATAATCCTAAATCAAGAGGTCCTGAATCAAGCTACCGGCGAAGCTAGCGGCGAAATGAAGAGACCCTGAATCGGGCTGGGTGTTCGGGTCTTGAATAAAGGGGCTGGAGTCTAAGGAGGAAATCTGGCAAGGATCTCGAGTCCTAGCCGGCTGGTATTTGCCTTAAGTAGAGTTCGAACCGCTGGTAAACTTGTTAGATGTGGGCGAGTAGCTGCGGACCGGCCTTAATCCGGCAAGATATCGTCCGGTATCCGCGGATTAAAATCCGTACTTTAGAGCCCCCACCCCCACCCGTTACCGAACAGATAGCACCACGGTGTTGTCGTCGTTTTAAAGGGTAGGGTCGGAAGGCAGTTCGAATATAATCGGACAGTTAAAGTCAACGCCAGGGGCGTAGCAAAGCCATTGCCAGACCTAACCAAGACCGAAGCTAAACCCCACACCAGGTAGCTGCTTCTTCAGCCTTTCCACAACCACGCAACCACCGTTACCTCACGATAGACCCTAAGTACTCGAGCAAACGACCTCACCGTCGAGCTTACGAATTGCGGAAGCAGAGTGACGCCGGGGCGAAGAAGTTACGTCTTTGCTAGTTCAATCTACCATTTACAACTCGAAATCGAACTTTTACGTTCAAGCTAGAGTCTACCAATAATTATTAGAATGATCTATCAACTGTTATTGGTACATACATACCGAAAGAATATTGTACTACTGGTTAAAAAATTCTCTTGATGTTTGATGACAAAGGAAACATAGGGAGAGAAGGAGACAGTTAGAATGCAATCCGGATCAGGAAGCATCGTGAATAACAACGACTGGAAACTAATCTAAGGGCGTTTCCATCGCAGATCAAGCTTGCAATTTCAAGTGTCGCGACGATGTTGCGTCGAGCCTGATTAAATTGCGATTCCATCGTACGCCATCGTGAATAACAATGAAAGGGCAAACGCCAGTTCCCTGATGTCTACCCTCTGCTACTTGAAAATTCACATATTTACAAAAGAATGCATTAAAAACTACGAAATTTCATTTCCTTGAAATTTTCAAATAAATTTGAATATTATTTGTATAAAATTATCTTAAGGTTGCACTATTCAATTTTCAGTGGTACTTTCTATTGGTTTAATTTATGTTTGAATAACTGTTTTATGAAATAATTTTGCAATCTGTCGCTGACATTTTCATTCGAACTTTGTGACGCGAAAAAAGTTCTTCTTACCTTAGCCTGCCGCTGTAAAAAGACTTTTCTCAATTTTCTACAATGTCAAACTTGCCTACTACTTTATAATTATATTTACGTCAATGGAACCGAGTGTGCTAATACCTTTTTCATTCACTGTTTGTACAGTTTCCAAAAATGACGTTGAACCGTTATTCTATTCATCTTGATCAACGAATTAAAACACTCTCTAGGAGGAAGTTTCTTGTTTGAAATATAAGGGTGTCACGGTTTTTCCATGCTTTTCATGATTTCTCACCCATTACCAGCGGCTAGCCGACTCTTATAACCTGCAGTATATCATTCGAGCCATTTTATCACCTTAACCGGCAGCTTTCTCCAACGAAAATATGCATCTAGCCACGGAGCCGAGTATTATTCGGCTCGAGGTAGATATGTAAATCCGTGATATAATACGAAGTCTATTCACGAAGCGTTCCGTCGAATGGAACTCGATACGATATACCCCTCGATATCCTCTTCGAACCATTTATTTTTCGATAAACGTTACTTTCTGCGAAGCACGTAGGATCGCGAAAGGGCGACCGGTTAAAGAGATCGCTGGAAACGCTAGCCAAACCCTTATTTATCATTCGGGGCAAGTGCACCAGCGAGATTCTCGGCTAACACGCAATCGATTCGACGATTTTGCACATTCGATGATACAACAAAACATTCGTCTGATATTTATATAATGAAAAAAAGAAATTATTGGGATTACAGTAGAAACTCGATAAGTGTTCGAAAGGATCTATCCGTTAAGTGTTCGCGATTTAGGTTCTCCCTCGGAGCAAGCGTGGGAGACAACACTAATGCAGCGATGAAATTTTTTTTTTTAATCACAATTTCATTAATATTAATATTGTTATAATAATTTTAACTAATCTCAATAATCTTAAAATAATCTTATGTTTTGTATCTTCCTGCAACTTCATACGATTGTAATATTTTTTATACTTTTTTTACAGTAAATCTTCTGTCCGCTAAACGTTCGTCTCTGATCCCAAATTCTGAACACTTAATCGAGTCTTTACTTTATCGAGATTCTCCCGAAAAAAGGGAACAAACGTGTAAGAGATTACCCTAGGCATAACGTATGACAAAGAGAGCTGGTGTCTGCGGCCTCCAGACAGTATTCACACTGTGTTCAGAAATCAGAGAGGAAAATCGTGCGGTCGTAGTATCGGAGTTTTTAATATTTCAGCCGCTTTGATCCGTCCTTCCGTTCGTCCGTCCTCCTGTAATTGATATTTATCGATCCTCCGAGAGGAACGAAGCTGCGCGACTATAACGCTTGGTTATTGAAGCGACCGGCATCGAAGCCAAGCCAGAAAGTCTGCCGGTTTTTGTCTGGAGCACCGCATCCAAAACTCTGGGGTATCGGCTAATTTAAAAGTTCTCGAGAACTCATCTAGCCTTTAGTAGCTTCGCCAAAGCTCGTCCCTATCTCTTCTGTATATACTATCCCTCCCCTTTCTGTCCACTCGCGAGCCTCGTCCTTACACCCTTCGCCGCTTCTATTTCTACTTTACTTCCTCGAAGAACCGTTCAAAGTCTTTCTCTTCCTCCTCGACCACTTTCCATCGCTCGTTACGCTTCATACGAGCCACGATTTACTTTCCTTTCATGACCCGGACCGGATGTTTCGGTCAATCTTCCGGAAGACCTCGTTGCGTTCCATCGTGCCGTTTCTTTTTCAACGTCGAGATATTATATTGAAAATTATAAAAGCTTCTCTCCTTGATTCTCAATCGTTTGTTATTTGTTTCATAGGAAAACCTGAGCCTATGGTTCGATGGCTGATCAATGGTCAGGTGAAGGATGAAGAGTACGAGAAGAATGCTGGTGACGTTATAGAGAATAGGTAAGGTTTCGTTATTTTGTTTCTTTTTTCAAGTTTACGTCAACCCTTCCGTCTGTTTCTCAGATTAAGCCTGCAACCGATCACTCGATCCGATCTTGGGTCGAATTTTACCTGTCAAGCACGAAACACGGACCTAATAGAGCCAAAGGAGTCTTCGATTACCTTGGAACTAAATCGTGAGTAATTATAAAAAAAAAAAAGGAATCGTTAGTATGTAATACTTAGGTAAAGGGAAGCGTGGATTTCACTTTTCGTGCAACTGTTGAAACCGTAGCGTGTTTTTATTCGACTAATCGTTGGCTGTAAACGAAAAGGGAGAAGGAAAGAAAACGGATAATGGTAAAAGGAAACGAGCAATTGCCCGAGGTTATGGGGCTAGTTCACCCATAGGCGGTGGCGGATGTCGTTAAAAGAGGAATGAAATAAAGACAAGAAGTAGATACAAATTCTTATCGCGTGGCTAACAAATCAGAAGCCTCCACCCTGAGCCTATCTTGTCCCGCATTAACGATAAGATCTACGAGACGGCGAAAGTGGGCCAACATCCTTTTGCTCCCTCGCCGCTGTGAATCGCCTTTAAGGGAAGATAAGGCAAGATAAGGAGGAGAAATATATTAAATCCAAGCCTTGGAGGCCCCACCTTCGCTCATCCATCCTAACCTTCTAGGTAGAACCTTCTTACCGAAGAAGCCACGAAGGCCAGCTATAACCTGCGAGCTTTCGTGAAATTAGAATTCTTCGTTAACTCGCCACCCGTATCATAAGCCGAAACGACGAAATGCTATTATAATTCCAAGAGTGAACTGAAAAATTCATAGATCAATTATCTACAAGCTCCTACTTAATATCCTTCCCTCGATGTTACGACCATCACGACAAGGGAGAGAAAGTTGAATTCGCTTAAAGGGGAAGCTTCTGGTTCCACCCCCAAGGTCGTATTCGACGAATAAACGAGTCCACGAATTTACGAGAAGTGTTCGATCATCGTCGAGCAAGACATTTCTTGATAACACCGAGTCTCATCGAGTCTCACCTTTCGAGATCAACCGTGAAGGGTGTCGTTCGAGATTATTTCGTAGAAACGTTCAAACGAGGTGACCAATTTATCGTCAGACATTTAAAATGTGCATAGTCATTCTTCTTCCCCCATTTTCCTTGGTATAAAATTCTCGAAGATATTTACCATTTTACACGATCTCTTTCCGTGTCTCGTTGTTTGTCGACTTGTCGTCTAGTTGGTACGGGTTCGGCGAAAAAGACAGGAGCGCGGGGTGATTGATCGGCGCCGAATGATCGGTGCTTCCGAAAGTCACGAAATTTTCGGCGAAACGGACGACGAAATTGAAGACCCGTTATTGGTGAACGAGAACACCCATCATAGCGGGGAACGAAAATAAAAAAAAAAAAAAAAAAATCCAAAGCGCTTCGTGTGCAGTGATAACGAAACGAGGGAAGAGGGATAGGAAGAGAGAGAAGGAATGCGCGAGGGTTGGTAGTACGATACTAGAGGGAGAAAGACATTCCGATAGCGAACAAAGAGAGAAAGAGATTGATCGATGCTCGCTCTTTGATTTTCGCGACCTGGACCAAGTGACCATGCATCGAGCGTGTATTCGTCTCATGGCTGGTGGAACGAAAAACGAAAGAGAAATTTAAAAAAAAAAAAAAAAAAATACTGTGGACGGTGACGAGGCAAACCATTGGCGGGACAAGGGGTTGAGGGTCGATGAGATTGCGGATAATCGAAAAGGATGGTGATTCTGAAAATCGGGCAAATCAAATGTTTTGCGTGCAGACGAACGAGTTTACCGTTCGTTGAACGATTTGTAATAATGACGTCTGAGTAATCGCGTCCCTTACTCCTTAACCCGTTAAGTGGTACCAACACCTGCGTGCATGTAGAATTAATTATTTCCTTGATAAAAGCTAAACTGTCAGATATCAAGTTTATTCAGTTTCGAACGTGCTGATTATTAATTTGTCAAATTATAAAAGTTCGAGAAGTTTGAACGAAGTTTATCGTAATGAAAGCAGAATTTCTCGAAAACTATGACGAAACTGTGGAACGGAAACGAGGAAAGAGAAATATTGAAACTCATTATAGCTACTGGTTTGACGCGAACAAAGCTGAACCAACATATCCGAGCGCATTCTCATAGTTTTCATATTTCACGCACGAATGGGTCGTATCTGGCCGGTATTGGCCAATTGGAAACGCGAATTTATCGTCCGTCAAAGCGATCGTCGCCTCGGTCGTAACGCGAAAACGACTATCGTTCCGAGCGTTTACACGCGGCCGGAAAAAATCAATGTTTACCGGGAATAATGATCGATCATCGGGCAGAAACTCGGAAAGAGATCGGTAAATATTGTATGTAACATTCCCTCCTATTCTCGTCGTTTTTCGATCGAAAACAAACGAAAGTAACGCGAATAGAACGAATAGAATGATCAACGAATCACTGTTTCGATTTTGATCGTTCGCATGTTCGGTAATGACAAATGACTGGCAATTGACCTGTCGGAATTTCACTACGTTAAATCGGCCACACGATTTGCATCGGACTCACGTAGTCCCAGCTCGTTTATCCGCCTTAATTATCGGTTCGCTTTAATTATCGCGCCCGATTAGCGTCATCGGTCCGCGTGATTGCGGGACTCGTTGATTCGAAAAAAACAGGACGGAGGAGAAGCATTATGTCGTTCGGCTAACGACACAGCTCGTTCGAACCTTTCGAAATCGAAATGATTTTCGATCGATCCAACGATACCTGTGTGGGTACAGTGTACCCACATAATTATAGACGTTGATCGCCAATCGTCGTATCTTAAATTCTTTGAAAATCACTACGTAATGAACTTTGCTTATTTTGCAGTAAAACCATTGACGGTGACAATTAGAAGGCCAGGCAAAAAAGGAGTGGGAAATGAATCACTGTTGGCGGGAAAACGTTACGAGGTGGAATGCGAGACCATGGGATCGAGACCACCGGCGGTGATCACTTGGTACAAGGGACGAAGAAGACAGCTGAAGCACACGACGGTAAGAAGAAATGATAATTATCATTTTTATTAAAATTTATAGTTACGAATGTAGGTAATATATTTTCTAAATGAAAAATATTATTGTACGAAAAACAGATTGGTCATTAATAATTTCATTATTTATAGTCTGAAAATGTACGTTTCTGTATGCATACGTAAACAGAATGAAATATGGCTGAATAATACTAATTATTCATTTCAATGTAAGCACATGTATCCATGATTAAATGACAAAGCGATAGTACACGTTCAATTAATCTATGATAATTATTAACTGGATACACAGGGACAGGAGACGGTGTCAAACTTATTAGCCGGTTCGACCGTCGAAAATATTGTTCGATCGGCGTGTACACGGCGGAGCATTATTCGGGCAACTGAAATCCGATAATCCGTTCGCTATCGTTGGCTAATTATTAGCGCATCGCCTTGACGAAATTTGTCGCGTCCCCGGTAGGTGGAACAAAAGGCAGCCATGGCATTTAATTAACAGCTAAGCTGCTTATTATAGCCGGTGCCGCGTTGGTGCCGCGTTGGTCCCGGTGCTTGTTAATTAACCTGACCCGTTCTCGAGTGCTGGACGGTAGGTAGAATGAAATACGGTAACGCGTGCTGACACTAAGGTATTTCAATTTCACTTCCTTGAAATTTAAATCAGAACGTCTCGTAAATTACGCCTCTTGCCGCGCTTCCGAAGCTTAATGCTCTCTGCTCTCCCTTCTAAATCGAGACACCCCCCATTGCCGAAGCGTTGAAGCGTTGAGGCTCGATTAATCTCACGAAATTTTTAGTATCGTTCGACCGCGAAATTGCGAACGGTGCCTGCTCGTGAATCTCGATCATCCTGGAATGCTTTCGATCGTTTTGCTTGCGTTCACTCACGTCCCTGCTGGAACGATACACCGTTACCTTTCTAAATGGTACACCCTTCAATTTGCACCGTACATTTTCAACGGAAAATTTTCGTCTTACCCTTTCCGATGAAATGGTGAAAAAAGTAGCGTTAAACGAATAAATATTACCACCTTTCACGGAGTATCGATAAAGTAATAGAGGCAACGATTTCGCTAAACAAACTTGCTACGATTCTTCTCCCTAGAATTGAAAGAGACAAAACAATTCTCGTCTAACGAACCGACACGATATCAGACAAAAACTATGCAACGATTTCTCAACTCGACTGGACAAAAGAGCTGTTCGACGACAGTAGCTAAATCGTGGCCAGTTCGATTTTCCGCTACTCCCTCGAACGGAGTTACGAGAAGTGAGACAAAAAAGAAAATCAAAGACAGATAGAGTCACGTGAAGAAAGGTCCATCTGAGAAAGGTGAGAGGGTGAGAGGGAAAGGGAGTATATTATAGGGAACGGAGGAAACGAAGAGGTGGAAAGGTTGAAAAGGTCGAAACGCTCCGGGGAACCGATAACTATACCCCTTGGCGTCGAATCTTTCCCTTGGGAAAGGTTCTCAAGGCGCAGAAACAGAGTCAAAGCGATAGAGAGAAGACGAAGAGAAGAAGATGAAAACGAAGCGGTAGGAGAGAAGTAGGAAAAGAGAAAGAACGGTTGGGTTAGGTCTGCTCGAAACGGATTGGATTCGAAGCCGACAGCTTCGGGGTCGCGTCCGATTGTATGAGCAATGAAAAGAGAAGAAGTGGTTGCGGTGGATAGATGGAGGTCAAAGGGGGAGGGGGGTTGAAAGGTACGATCGGTGCTTTCGAGGAGAGTCGATTGAATTAAGCAACCACACCTGTCGACTCCAGATATTTTCATTGGCGCCATGCTAATTGCCAATTAAGCGATGCCGATTTCGACGATCCGCAATCCGAACACCGCTACCCCCTTCGCCTCTAATTTCATCCCTAATTCTGTAACACTCATTTCGTTAAATCGTGCGTGTCAACTCACGGTAGTAATTTTTTGGAAAATTTACTACTTGGAAACCCATAATAATTGCTTACATAATACTAACTCTAGTAACCTGGATAAATTACTCGGCTTGGATTGAATTCATTCAACTTTTTAATTATTCTCCCTTTTTCGTTTCAAAACATGATTTTACGGTCACATTTCCGCAGTTATATGATATTCGCGATACAAAAGTTGTTACGAGTTGTTACTCTCCATTTTTTCAATTTCGAGTGCGATTGAATTTTAAGAGCTATAGTATTTTTATTGTTCCGTTTCGGTCATTGTTTCGAAAAACGTTTCTTTCATACCGTAAATAGAATTAGTAATATCAGCCACAACAATTATTGCGTACATTTCAATATCTCATACGTATACAAGGTTGATTTTTATAAAATAAATCGAAGCGAACTTTTCAAACGCGCTGGTAGCTTTTTTATCCGTGATTATTTGCGAATCATTTCGTATTTTCAGAGATATTACACGAATCGTTGTTTCGTTAACCTCGCGTTTCGGTTTGACGGTTTTTAATTTTCGAAAGTAAGCTGATTATTCGCAGAATGAACGGTAATAATAATAATATTCTGGAAAGGGTGGCGGGATAATAGCGAAACGGTATGTGCAGCAAATGGAATTGTTGGAAATAAGCGAGAATCGAGTGACACTCTCGCAAAAGGATTTACTCTGCTTGTCGGACCGTTCGAAATTGACCGGAAAAGTAACGAGCATAGTAGGATTCGAGGCGTGCCGTAGATCCGGCTATGAATTTCCTGTATTTTGGAGAATCCGATATAGAAAGGCTGCTGGCTCGATCCGTTCAACGGCGCACCCACGATTCGAGCTTGTGATATTCGACGTTTCCAATAATGCAGCCACGAAGGCCATTGCTATTGGCTTCGAAATGAACCTGCCAGGATACATTCCGTAACACGAAGGACTGCTCATCCTTTGTCGCGTATTCCTCCACGGTCTTATATTACGTTTTCAAACAAATCGGTAGTTATTCAACGTTTAACTTTCAATTTAATTCACCCTTATTCTGATGCCACAATGTCGCTTCGCAGAGAAACGTAGAGAAAAATGGAATCGAGAAATGAAAATGAATGCAGAATTTCGTTAGAAGGTGGGTAAGGTAGAAGCTGTATTTAATCGAACCGTAGAACTTCGTCGAGGAAAATAGAAATACTGACAGGGAACGATGCATTCCGGCGGCTTTGAAAGTCATAACTACGAGTTTCCAAGCAAACTCCGCGATGCGTTACGAAGTTAGAAAGCCCTTTTAGAGCTGGTACCGAAAGCAGAGCGCGAAAATCGGCGTCTAGGTCGATGGGAATATTCGATACTCGCCGATAATGTACGTACCAGTATGCCTCGAGTGCTGGTTTCCCTCGGTTCGCTGAAATACCAGCTAAGCCGCTCACAAGTCTGCGAAACATTTTAACGGAAACGTCCGTTGCTTCCAGCTGTCAGTGTAGCCGATTTGTAATCAACATTCCAAACCGTATTATCGTTAAATTAAATAACAAACTTTTCCTACGTCCCGTGCCCTGTATTGGACACACGAGCGGCACGCTTGAACCGTGCACTGACCGATCTCTTCTCTTTTCGCCAGATTTATCTCATTTACGATCATCTCTATGTAACAGAGAATGAAAAGATAAGGTGTCCTAGAATTCATTAAAATTCCCTTGCGTTCCCTGAATATTCGATGCGAGACAAGGCGTTGTCCCATCGTTGAATCTTCACACGTATCTGGTCGGTGGGTCGTCAAAGAATCTTAATTTCACCGCAGAAAAGTTGGATGAAAGTACTTCCAGGTGGTAGCCCGTTCCTCGCGACTCGCGCAGACACGCTACCTGTTTTCCACGAATTAGAATTCAGCCCCGTTTCCATCGGTGTCTGTCGTTTACACCGTTAATCAGTCCACGCGGCAAAGTCTTGGTCTCTACACGAAGGAAGAGATAGAGAGAGAGAGAGAGAATATTGCGACTGTTGGCGAACGGATACAGCGAAGCATCGTTAAGCGCTGCGGCCAGAGCTTGTTAATGAACTACGCGAAATTAATTAGGGCCGCGTGTCAACGTGTTGCAGACAACGCTCGCTCGGTGCACGTGGCGTTGCAATGTTACATTTCTAATTCCGGATTATCGATAACGCGTTCCCCTCGCATCGCTGTACACATAGAGAGGAAAATATACAAAGTAATCGCTTTGGTCGCATAGGGATGATCGTAGCTGAACTAGAAAATGTTAGAACGGCATTGGTGGTGCGTCGTTAAAAGAAGGAGAAAATGAGGGAAAGTAGACGATAAAGAGGCATCGTGGGTCGTTTTCACGGTGACGAGAAAGGTGGCGACGTACCTGCTTAAAATTCCTCTTGGCACCGCCTCGAAAGCGGCAGATAATAAAATATAACCTCGTAGCGAGGCTTTGCGCGGCGAGAAAAAGGGACGAAGGAGAGCTAGGTCTATCGTAGGAAAAGAAAAGGGCGGTACCAAGAAAGAGATATTAACGTAAGCAGATCCTATAAGCGACGGAACACGTAGACCATTTCTACCGCATTACCATCCTGATTATCCTATAGTCATCCGAGGCTGTCTTTAACGTCGACCGTTCAGTATTACGTGGTCTAAGCTAGGAAGGGTTTCGTTAGCGACGAGAAAACTGCGATAGAATCACCAGCTGGATATATTATCCTTATTCCCTGTTCCCTGGAAACGCGAGCTCATCCTCGTCCTTAAGAGCGTATAAATATTTTTCAATGAAATCTCCCGACACCTCTCAACTTTCCTTTCTCTTGCCCCTTTTTTCTTCTTTCATTCATGGACTTGCAATTGCCTCGGGAATATTCGCATGCTGGAGAATTAACCCCTTTTATTGCACACCCTCTGTTGAGAACAATCTGAGGCGATGATGAGGATGACGCGAATGAATGCAACTTCTATATCGTTAACAAATATTTATTAATATGTACGACCTGTTGGCTACATAAGAAATCGTGGTAATAATACGAGGGGTGGTGACAAATGTGTACGCAGCTTTCCGTGGTGCTTTTCCCTCCATGCTCGTAGGAGAAAATTTGGATTTTCTTCAATAAAACGCTGACTTTTCCTTGGCTGACGAAAACCAGCGGACCTGACCTATACCCTCGCAAATCATTCTCGCGTTTTTCTGCATCGTATATTTCAAATCATCAAGAAATATTCCATCTCGGATTTGCAAAATTCCGTTTATTAAATAAGAGATGACCGAAAGAGAAGAGGAAGAAAGGAAGAGTGAAAAGAAAGCTCCGTCCAGGCGAAGAAAAGTTTCGTTTTCAAGCTTTTAACGTGACTCGGAGTCGAAACGACGGTATCGGGTGACATGCTTTGAAACGAAATATGTACCGGGGGGGGGCTCGTGGTAGCTGGTTACCGGTGTCGCCGCGTTTCTTTTTTTTTCTTCTTTCTCACCCTCGTAGCCAGGGCGCGCCGTTGCTGGGAAAATAAATGGAAAAACGCGATGCGACGCGAGACGGTTGAATCTCGCGTCAGAAGCTGGTGCCTGGTTTGCCGGTAAAATTCACGCTCGGTGGAATCCGGCGCGGTGGGGCGGCGCTCTCTTTAGAAAGGATTCCGGCAACGACGTTAGCAGGACTCCGGGTCCTTTCGAATCCGGGCTAGCAGCAGGAATGAATTTCCAGCAGATGTTGCCAAGCGTTGCTTACGGTCCGCCTCTCGACCTTAATATAACCAAAATTAACCATAGCGAGAGTTGCCGTCGAACTCGTTTCCACCCGTTCGCTCCTCCGCCCTCGGTTTCTCTTCTTTTCCCCTTTTTTATCTTCAAACCGGCGTACTCGTTTCTCGCCGTCTTGCGCCGCGGGATTGAAGCGACCCTTCAAACGGAATGCGCGATATTATTTTTAGAAATTACGTTTGTTCGAGCCAGAAGGGCACCGTGCTACGGAGAAGTAGACGAAAATCCAGGGTGGAAAGATTGTTCGAAAAATCATCGAGCACGTTAGACGCGCAGGTACTCGAGATATTCTGTTTTCCTTAGCAAACGGGGATCAGAGGGTAGCCTGCGCAACAATTTTCGCATGGAAAAATTTTGAAAAATCATTCAGAAGGTTTGGTATACTCGAGAAATGCCGTTTTTACGAAAAAGGACGAAGAAGGATGAAAGGGGATTAAAGGCAGCCGCGCATCGGTTTACCGTCCTTTGAAATTTGAATTTTCCTTCGCCAGATGCCAGACGTTTGCTTACTGGCTCGGATATTTTTTAAACAGCGAAAATTCAAGATTTTCGAGTATGTAACCTTGTGTTGAACCTTGTGTCGCGCAGGACGAGAGATCCGAGAATCGAACGATGAGCATGGTGGAGTTCGAACCTGGAGTGGAAGACCATGGAAAATCGATCACCTGCAGGGCGGAAAATCCGAACGTGACGGGACTGTTCGTTGAAAAATCATGGAAAATCGACGTAGTATGTAAGTAGACGATTAACGTATTAAATTATTAGCGATAACTGTTACGTGGCGTATCAATTTGAAGTTTAAAGGGAAATTCTTAGCTAACCGCGTCCGACTTTCCTTAAAAGAATGGAAAGCTCGATGCGAAGAATATAAATACAAAACGAGGAAAAGTTTCAGGGTGACATAACATATTCTACCCCTCTTTCCAGCGTCCCGATTTCTTTCTCGCCGCGATCTTTTACGAGGGTACGTAAATGCATATTCGATGATTTCAACGCTTGGAAGTTGTACCTCGTTCGGGCAACGGCCTTTAATCTATGCATACGCGTCGTGTGAAGACCATAAAAAAAATGTGAAGCATCGGTACGAGGTCTGCGTACCCTTCCTTGCGTATCCCTTGGACTCTCGTCTTCCATCGTGGCAGATATCGTGAAATCGGCCGATTTACGAGCCCTTTTACGTTGAGCACACGCTTCTCTACTCTGCTCACGTTCTCCCTATCTCTGTCCTTCATTCGTTCATCCCACATCTATCCATCCACTTTTCTTCTTTTTTTTCTTTTTCTTTTACAGCTACAATAAAACAGCCTCCGTCGGATTTCGAGCGAATTACAGCCGAAATTCAACGAGACCGATCGTTGCGTATCTTCGCGGAACCGTTCGCTGCTCTAGTTGATCGTAAAACGAAGGAAAAATGTATGCGACGTATAGGGACGGACAGCTCGTAAAAGAAAAGATGTCGCCAATGAATTTGTCCTTTACGATTCTTCTTTTTTCCCTTTCTTTTCTATTTCAAACATTTTAACACTGAACCGTACGTTAGTGTAGTAATATTTAACGATTAAATAAATAGTACCGTATACTTATTGTTGATAAGGTAAGATGGTATATGAGTTCGCACTTAAGCTTCACAACATTGTAAAAAACAAAGTAATGCGTTTCATTAATCGGAATTTGTTTTATTTGAAAGAATATCGATCTATAATGAAACTAGAAAATCAGACAATGTAATTTGCATTACTGTTATTTGTACGGTTGGATAAGAATGCGACAAATGGTCGAAAAGTGTATTCTTTCGAATCCCACTGGATCCCACCGGATCGAATTCTCGTTTTTCTATCATTTTTATTCAAATTCCCTTATACATAAAGGGGGTCTTCCCCCGGTATATAATTAAATAAATAAATAAGTGATTTTCGATTAACATCAAGCCCCTCCAACGCGAAGAACTTTTTATCGACAGTCTTTCGGTCCGTGTTGAACTTTCTTATGGTTTTCTTTATTTCGTCCACCCTCGTGTATCTTCGTAAAGGTATTAAGAAGAAGCTGGTGTGTTATGGGAAATGACGTCACGTCGCGTATCCAATTACGTTGACCGTTGCAGGGTTGCACGGTATCACTGGAATTACACGGTCGCCCTCGGTCCGACAAGTCTGCCCGGGCTTTTTCGAGGTGTACCGGCTCTCGATTCGCGAGAAACGAGCAAGAAAATGAAACTGCTAGGTACCGAGGGAGGGAATTTATTGCAATCCTAAAGCGGAATGATCTTGTCAGTTCGCGGAGAGCAGCGGAAGAATAAGGGACAACGGAACGATGCAACAAAGGGGTCGAGGGTTAAAAAAGCGGGCACGAGACAGGGCGGACGGAAAATTGTGGAGGGAAAAGGACGCGATCGAGCTAATTAATACAATCTCGAAAGAGTGGCGTACACTGCGGGCAAGGAGGAAGGGACGAAAGAAGAGCCAGTGGGAAACGGAGGGAATTTATCGTGGTGCACGATAAAATTCTGCGAGAACGCTGGAAGAATAAACTCCTCGGGCTAGGAAAGAGACCGAGAGGGAGCGGTATGATTAAACTAATGAAGACGGTAAATGAAAGAGATATAAGCAACGAAGAAAATACCGGAATTCCACGGGGGTGTGGCGGTACGAATCGCGTGGAGAGGAGACGATATCTACTCTCGAAAATAAACAGGGTGTAATATCATTTTAGCAGCTTGATTCATCTAAACGGAGAGTAATTTACCGATCAAGTTGAGTTTCACCAACAATTCACTGGATTTGCTATAGGTAATACAACGGTGCATCAATTTCGTCATGAATGGGATTAAATAAAAATTTTCCTCCATAATTTTCTCCGGCACAATTTCACTTCCGTGAGTAAAATTGGCAAATATCCATCAGAAATGAAGAAAGCACGCGATAGGTAAGAAAAAGAGGTAAAGGAAAGATCGCGAAACGACTATCCTGAAAATCTAACAGGGGTTAAAATATTTCCTATCGGAGACGGGACAGGTTGCCACGTGCTGAGGGCGAGCGCGCCTTAAGCCTTAAGGTATCAAGTTGATGAAATTCTACGAGGGTGGAGCCTACCGTGACGATAAAACGTATCTAAGCCCTTCATCTTATTCCCTCTCTGTGAGAGAGAAAAAAGTAAAAGGCTACTGTCTCCCATCCATTATCAGACCCAAGTCATTCACCTATTATTAACACCTTCATCAGTTGATTTAATAAGATCCTAAAACTAAACTAAGCGAAGATAAATGGTGGAAAATTCACGTGCTACGAGGATCACTGCTGACCCACCGTGATAACTTTAATATTGTATAACCAAATATTCATATTTTAAGCTTTTAATTGATACGCCATTTATGTTATCTTCTTCGGTTGCATTTAATCGAATATAATTACAGATCCTCCGATCGTGTCGTTGAACCTCGGCTCGACCCTAAGTCCCGAGGACATCAAGGAAGGCGACGACGTTTACTTCGAGTGTCACATCAGAGCTAATCCACCTTGGTCGAAGTTGACGTGGATACACGACGTACGTATAGACTTACTAATTAAACGACGTTTCCGCGCGCAATTAACGCTTGTATTCTACGATTACGCGTACGAGTTTGCAGTCGTGAATCAGAGACCGAAAGTCGAATGTTTCTTAACAAAGTTACGCCTTGAATCTCTCGAGTACGATGTTTCCCCTTACACGTTGCCTCTATTAAAGCGTTGTTAACCCCTCTGTATCTCGTAGGGTGTAGTTTCCCGACTCTGTTTAAATTTTCTCTCCTACTTGCTGGAAATGTTGTTAAGGCAAAGATTTTGAAACCGGTGTATCTGATATTTTGAAGCAGACAGAGAGATATATCTCGCAGACCAGCAAAAGTTTTTCGATATAACGCAACATTTCCTATCGATTAATTATCCATCGGTTCGTGTTCACGAACGCTAGGTATAAAAAGCTAGAACGAACATAAATGCAACGTTATAGGTGATTTACGCGACAACATCGAGGGTAGTAGGAAGACTCTATAGAAGGCGACTAGCGTTCTTATCCGTCGGTGCAGTGGCTCGTATATCGAGCACTAGGTAAAACTTTAAATCCTTTATTTGCATAATATATGAGATCGTTCGGCAGACTCGATCTCGTGGAGCGCCGTTAGAACGCGAAGACTTAAAACCGTCCGCCATGAAACGCGTTACGTTGGAAGCCGATCATCTCGCGGATTTACGTTGAGCAACGATAAAAGACTTTGCGCACCACTCGCTCATTCTCTCTTTCTTTCCTTTTTTCCCCCCCGTCGTTATACGCGGAATTACGTTCGTTAGGATGAACGGAAAGTTTTTACATTTTTCCTCGTTAAGCGTCGGTACATTAATTTCGCGTGGAACGAGTCCAATAACTGAATTTCCATTATTTCTCATTGCTTCGTTTTCTTGCTGCTTTCTCGACAATTTCTCGAACGAGAAGCGAACCTCCTATTTGTAATCGACGTAGAATCGTGGCATTCAGATCTGTTTTTCATACATTTGACATTTGCATTTAAAATTGATACGACTCGTACGATATTAATTCATTTTCAAGCATACCCAAGAACGATTTACCGAGTCGTCCTTCGATCCGAGGCAACGACAATTGAAATTTCATTTAAATTATATTTTTTTTTTTCTCTTTTAACGAGTACCGCTTTGCTCTCTATGTTTATTTTAACAATTAATGACTCGATAAAAATCTGGTGTCTCGAGAATGGCTCAACAGAAAAGTAACCAAAGAATACGGAGGAAACTAAACCTTTTTCTCTTCTTCCTCGTTTGCCTTAATCCAACCTCGTCCCGTTCTCGTTTGCCTCGTTCTTTACATTTAGTCGCTGGATCTTTCCCGTGGATACGTGTCGTGTCGTAGTTCACGAAGAATACCAGGACGAAGAGGCGGGCTAATGGTGGGACGGTAGCAGCTGCTACAACGTAAGAGATTTCCGTCGAAATTGCATCTTAAAAATATGAACCGACTTCATTTCTCGAAAGTAGCCGGCTATCGTAACCTTGGCTTTCTTCTTCTTTGTCCGTTTCTAGATTCTACCCCTCCGTTTTCCTCCATTTCGCACCATTTCTCTGACAAATTCCATCTTCGAGGATACCACTTATATTCGCTTTTAATTTATTATCTTTATTAAAAGATGTTATTCGGAATCTCTTCGCTCGACTGAAAAATTGACAGAGTGATAGGTTGAAGATGGAAATAGCTATTTAAGGTATGACTATTCATTTCAGAATATATTTTCGTTTGAAATTCGATAAGACGCTTTTAATCCTTCGTTTTATAGAATTAGGATTATTCCTATCGATGTCCAAGAAACTTAAATTACTATATTTTTATTATAATTGAAATAGAAGAGCATCAGGTTTGGGGTACGCGTGAAATGTACTGTGCAAAGATGAGAAGAATACGAGTGAAAGGACTACGGGTACGATTGGTCATTGCTCACGCATATGCATTCTAGATGGTTGCGCATTAATGGCCGATGCGGTCGCATACTAATCGCGTCGCCTGACAAAGAAGGAAAATGAGATTTCGCGAAGTCAGCGTTGCGTTGGACTTTTTTCTGCCCTCCCGCTAATCATATTTCTATCTCTGCACAGTACATGAAATCGGAACCCTCGGCTCTCAAAGTTTAAAAGTAATCGTAGAAGCAAAGACGACAAAAAGGTCGCAATAGGTTAATGGATAAAGATAGTAGACTTCGATTCCCGATGGAGATACCTCTAGTTTCTATTTTTCACGGATCCCTACAGTTTCGTGATTTGTTCGGAACGAGAAAACTGTTGATTGACCGCACGGTTATCGCTTCGAATTCATCGAAGAGAAGAAATTACTCGACAGATGAAATAATAAAAAGTAACGTTCCGGCAATCCGCGAAGAAAATAGCCGTAGGTAAATTTGTCTAAACGAATGGACATCGCTTCTCGAACGATTAGAAGGGGTTTTCCTAGAAATTATAGAAAGCCCATCGGCACGTTCTATCTGCCAATCAATCCCAAGGTACCAATTGGGCCGGGATTCCTTCTCGAACTGTCGGTCTTAAAAAAACGCTTCGAGCCATTGGCAGAAGCAGTAACCTCTTGAATGGCGATCGTAAAAACGAGGAAAGACTAGCATCGAAAGGAAGAAAAGATAGAAACGGGACGTATACCGTAGTAAGAATATGGGTTGAAGGCAAAGGAGGGTTTCTACCGAGTAGAATCGAAGGAAAAAGCACAAAGTATAGAGTAAGGGCGGGGAATGGTGGCGAAGGAAGGGAAGAAAGGGAAGAAAGGGTGGAGGAGATAGCCGTCTATAATGGGGTAGAGTGATTAGGCTGGGCTGTACCATTCACGGGGACAATGGAGAGAGAGATTCTGTAGCTACGCGGAAGAAGTATCGACGATCCAATCGGCTCTACAGGGAAGAGACGTTGAAACATTTTCCTGCCTCTTCATCTTTCTTGGCAAGGTGAATTGACCGACAACCGGAAGAACCCTATTAATACTCTTCCTTCCGATTCTGACAAATAAGGAAAGTTCTGTGTCCTTTATTCGTTCATTTTGATACCAACAGTGATAAGTGTTATTTTTCTTTTACGATCAATCGTTTTATAGAATTTAATCGGAAAATTTCAAACGCAATCGTTCCTTTTGCAAACGACACTGCCAGTGAAACGCATCGAGGATTAAAGCCAACAAGTAGGTAAAACCAGGACAGGCTCTCCAGTCGAAGATCTTGCCAAATGCATCCGCGTCCGTTTAATCGAACGATAGAGCTCGTTCCAACTAGTTCTGTGTCTTTTGCCAGCTGTTCTCTCCTTTCTTAAGTAAAAAAAGGAACCTTCGTTTCCTTCCTTTCCCTCTTATACGTTTCTTGATCGTCCTCTCCATTACAACCAGAGAATTTCTGTCTCCTTCTTTCTTTATCCGGGTTCAGGTGGAAGATAATTTGAAATCGATTGGGAACGAGGCCATTTGAATCTCGAAGAAGATAGCACAAGCTGATAGAGCGGATCAAAACTTCCTCCTCTTCTTCCATTTATTTCCTCTCTGTTTTTTCATCTAACACGAGGGTTATAGCTTTATAATTTTCAGACCGCGCGTCTATGGTCGCTATCGAATCGATAGAAGAATAACACTTGATTACTCGAGAGCGATCAGACAACGATATCCAAGAGTTTCCCTTCGACTTCTCAGAGAACAAAAAGTAATCGATTTCCATTGAATTTCAATAGAACGTCAAAAAAGTTTCTATCGGCTATTTCGTTCTGTGTACTTTTCAGAAGATTGTCGATTCTCCGTAGCTGAGTGGAGGCATGGAAAGTCGTTAATTCGATTAAATTGTACCGGTAATTTATGCAACTTGTCCGTTGTTCGTGTTTCAGAGGGAAGGAAGCTTTAGCTCGATTAGCGTAAGTTAAGCTTCGGGGTTTACCTTCGATTTACTAGTCTGGGAAGGCTCGTTAAGGGGCCTAGAAAAAAAATGCTCCATAGAAACACCAACAACGTTCTAGGTTTTCTTTTTCGAGCCTGAGAAATTGTTAGGCATCCAGACGGTTCGATAGCAATGTTAGGTCACGATACAGAAATGAAACAACTATGCGATCGAACGACGAGGTAAAACACGAATACCTTTGCAAGATAGAAAGACGAATCGTAAAACTGTAGAAATGGCGCTCGAACGGAACATAAAAGAATGAATGCCACATCGTTCGTTCGACTGGGAAAGCTTACACGCGTGGAACATCGAACGTGTGACAATTAATATTCGTTTAACGACACATTGATCGCACGCGTTACGTAGCCCACCCCCTCGACGAGACAGCATACATAATGAGGTCGTAAAGGAGAGCGTTAATTAGACGCCTTAAGGATCGCCTGGCAAGACTCTGCTTCTCCGTTATTAATTCGATTTTCTTCGCACGGTTTCCTGGAAAACGAGCACCGGGCTCCTTTGATCGTGACGGTTTCAGGATCAGCTACGCGAAGCATTTTCCCCCGGCTAATCAGCTTTCCTTCGGTAAACGGGGAAACAACCAACTTCCTCGTTAAATCTATTCCCGAGGTGTGCGGACACGTGGACCGGCCCCATCGACTTCTTTTGTCCATCGACGACCCGTCCTTAATTGCATCAACGAGCTAACACAATCGGGATCGCTAACAGCTAATTTTATTTCCTTCTTTTCTACGGGTTCGCTCGGTCCCTTAGACCAAACCACCATCCACGAACCATTGCCTTCCTTTCATCTGCTATCTCGCTCTTTGTAGAACTCTTCTCGCGACGACACTTTCGTTACGGAAATTCCTTTTCTAAATATCACTTTTTCGCTAAAGCGTTCGACGAACAAACCACTCTCGTATAATATGTTTCAAAGGTTTGAAAGTCGAAATGTTTCGATGGGTAACGATATCAGAAGCTCGACAGGGTAAAGGTAAAACATTCCCGCTGGTAGCTGACAAGAGGTAGCCGTGTAAGTGCAAGGTTTTCTTCATAGAACGGGTTCTAGCCGCAGGAAGAGGGAGTTGGAACGAAGCCCAAAAGCCTGCCGCTTCATTTTGAGAATATTCGGAATCCAGAATAAGGGTGGAATTACTCGTAGCACGTGGTACGTACAACCGTGCCGGTACAATAGGCCACGGGTATTGTCTCGCACGTCGCCGTTACATAAAGTAGGTGTTAACCGTCCTTTCGTACACGTTTCCCCTTATATTCTGTACACGCACCCCTCTAAGGTTACCCGGTGAAACCACGTTGGATAGAAAATGAACGAGTCTCGACTCTGTGTTCCGAGAATCAACCGATATCGTCACCTCTCCCCAATTTCCTTGATTTTACTATTAAAACCATTATAGTAAACGTAAGAAATCAAAGTAAAAACACTGGACTGAGTTGTTCAGAGCTGGCTCGGTGAAAACAAGGAAAAGGAACCATTCGTCATGGTTTTTCGAAGGAATCCGGAACCTTTTACGTTCCGCATTGTTTCCCTGAGCGTTAAGACGGTCTTCTTGGTCGAGCGAACCGAGGATGCTATCGACGACACCAGATTACCAGTTGAATTCCTCTCAGCGTTGAATCGTTCGGGGTCGAGCAACAACAAAACCCTGGAATATCGTCCTCGTTCAATCTCGTCGATCCGCTTGACCTCCACCCGAAAGATTCATCGAATTTCTTCTCGCATTTCGATCCTAGAAAGATTCTCGCCGGCCTGGGATACCGGAAGCTTCGGCCGCCGGAACTCTCCGGTGAGAATTCTTCCTTCTCCACGCTAGACATCGCTGAAGAAGACGAGGAAGAAGAAGGGAAAGGGGTTGAAGAGGGTAAGGGAAGAGAGACGGACGTTCATTCCGGTCAGACGGCGCACTGATTCCTTGAAAAATTGCCAACAACTCGTGGCCCTGCTTCCTTCCTTCCTTCCTTCCTTCCTTCCTTCCTTCCTTTCTCTACTTCTCTCGCAATTTTCTTTTCTTTTTTTCTTCGCACTTTAGGTATTCCCCTCTGTTTTCCTCTAAGAATGAGGTGCAAAATCATTTTATCTTGTCTAGTTCGTGGCTCGTGAGCTGTTTACATGCTCTAGCGATATCATTTCTTCTTCTCAACCGTCTATTTATCCTCGTCCGCGGTCTAGTTTCTCGGATTATGTTGAATCGAGGAGCGAAAATGGGTTATACTTGCTTTTCGCACAGATTCGACCATCGAATGAACGACCATTGTGATCTTGTTAGAAAGAATTGTTACCTTCTGTCGGATACGAGTGTACCGGAACTCGACGTTCTTCATTTTATCGCGCTTCTTCCATTCGATAAAAGTATTCGAAGGCTAGGTACAGTTCGTTTTGGAAATTCGTTTATTGTTCAGGTATGAAATCGTGAAGGAAATATTTCTAACTGGTGAGAAAATGTCAGCAAGCGAAGCACAGATTATCATTTCCAAATTTGTATTTGTTTGTTGCGTTGAAAAGAAGTGATCGACAGTGGCACTTAACGGGTTAAGTTTCCTTAATTTAATTTCTTCTTCTCTAGTCCCTGATTCTTCAATTTATCCTTCGTCCTTCTGTCTTCTTAACTGGAAAAAATATTTTAATCCTCTGTACGAACATCTGCGTCCAACGAGAAGAAGATTCTGTCGAGAGCGCGCTATGTTTCCCATCGAATCTTGCTTAAATACTGAATTCTAAATATTAACGTCATTTATTCGGAACATCTTGCGTTTACAACGTTGTTGGTGGCAATATAAATTCCTCGCGCTGTTCGACGCCTTTGCTCTTACGATCCTATTTGTTTCCTCCGAAAAGAGAGGAGCAAGTTTGAGTGAAAAAAATGCTTTCCTCTACCCTTAACTCGAGCAGCTACCACCTTGAAGATTTGTGGTCGAGGATTTCGTGGCTCATTATATAAGACGCGGTATTGTCGCAACATTTCATCCAGAAAAATTGTGCTTTCTTTTCCGCCAAGGAACGCTTCAACCCTTATTCCTTCCCTTTCATTTTACAACGATCCATCACCGACGAAGAAGATCGCGTGCAATCAGCCGGCTTGGTCTTCATTAACTCGGAAGTTGCTCGGTATGCATGCTAAATTTCTTGCCTCCTTTCGCTTCGCTTCGTTTCCACCGATCGAAACTTCATCCCTACGTTTTCTCCCTTCCTTTTTTTTTTTATAATCGCAATCAGTTGCAAAGATACTTAGCGACTGTTCGAAGAATAAACTCACAGCGATGACCATCGACGGTTCCTCTTAAGAATATCCGTCTTCCTTTAAGAACTTTGTAACGCGGTGACTGCGATTTTAAAGAAGAAAGAAGATGAACATTTACCTTCGTTTCGTTCAGGAAGAAGAAAAAGTGTAAAGATGGTGATCGAGCGAAAGCGAAGCGTTCTTTCTCGCTCGTCCCACCAAGACGGCGATTTTAAGCGGAATTCCGGCACGGTAACTCGCGACGCTCGGTTGAAATTGATTGATGTACGGCCCGTCGAATCCGACGCCCATCCCTTACCACCGGGCTTCCTTTCCAAGCCCGTTCTCCGCATTAAGTCTCCGGTCTTGTCGGGATTGAATCTCGTGCGAGAAGGAAATGCACTCGACCGATTCATTGCGAGAAACCCCATTACCCCCGTTGCCTCGCCTCTGATCGGTGTACAGAAGCAATAACGTCGATTTGGAAATCAAATAACGCCGGCCAAACCCTTGTTGGAATTTAAAGTTTCCACGAGAAATGCACTGGTATTACTTCCGTTCGACTTTCAGTCTTCTACCAAGGAAATTCGATCTTCAGAACTGGCTGTCGCGGTTGGAATTCTCTTCGAGACTTCAGTGTGTCGTTGCGGTAATTGCAAAATCAATTTTGCAATTTTCGATAAGTATACCTACCAACTCTCAAACGATTCATCAAAATTGTCGAGTGTCGCTTTTTAAAAAATACCATCGAACTTTAACTCGCTAAATAATATCTCCGGCGTGAAAAGCAGCTCTAACCAGACGCTGCTTTTACTAAAAAATGAGGAAGCTAATCTTTCCTCTCCTTTATGATTTTTCACGCGATTGCCTTGAAACACTGTTTCGAGCTGGCCCGTCAAGAAGAAGACAAAAGAACATTTCCTGTCAGATAACGTGTGGCGTTTTGCGACTGATGAATATTACCACGGTATTCTTTATTACCTTAGATCCTTTGTGTTCCTTTGCGAAGATTGATGGCGAGCTCCATGGAAAGGTGAAAAGAGCAGATTCAGAGGGCTTATCATCCATGGTTCTAGCTAAAAATCGTACAAACCTGCGCACTTAGTTGTTTAATCAGACTGGATGAAAAAGAAACGCTAGTTCTCTTATCTTTTGTATCGTTTCTCTTTTGTCCCCGTTAACGAGGAGACAAAACGAATGCGTTTGATTCAAGAATTTCCAGCCTCGTCGAGAAAATTAACATGACAACGACGAGCGGGAAAGAAACAAAGCTGACGTTTTCTTTTTTGTTGAGAAAAAAGAAAAGGAGACACAGAGGTTTACCTTGTCTTGGACAAGCGAGTGTACATCTTTGGTGCACTGTGCGCAGCCTTTTCCAAACTACACGGACGCTGCTGTTACGTTTAATTAGGCCACCTTGGAACAAACGTTCATTATATCTTATTTCGTTCTTGTTTCCTTCGCTCCACGAAAATGAAGGGCGCAGCAAACGTACCGTATCTTTGCTCTTATTACAACCTTCTGAAATTTCTAGCCGCCTCGTACGTCGAGCGAATCAGCCTTCTTCCTCGCCGGGTTAAGCGATCTAACTCTGATCGCCTCGCTGCTCTGACGAGAACACGCTGATAACTTTCCTTGCGATGTTCCCGTTAGTTCATTCAATTTTCTCCAATGGCGTTTCAATTGATAGAACGTAAATTGAAACAATTCATAGTTCAATAATGTTATCGTTTATCGTGCATAGGGTTAGGAACCCATTTCCTAAAACAAAGCAACGAATGTTAGTAACAAGACTAACAACAGCAAGCATCAAGACGATAAATCGTACGATTAACGTGATTTGTTCCGTTTGTTTCAGAACCAAATATTGGCGCACAACACGTCGGCCAGGATAATTTGGTCGAATCAGAGTCTGGTGCTTCAGAGCGTGACGAGAAGTAGCGCCGGCAAGTACGTGTGCGCTGCGACGAATGATTTGAACGAAACGCGAAGCGAACCTCTTCATTTTCGCGTCAAATGTGAGTATACAAGTAAAATATATAAAAATTAATTTATTACCAAATTAAAAGAATTACGTAGCTTTTACATTCTGACAAGAATTCAGATGCGTTTTGACTGGGAAACAAGTTCACCAACGTTCTCTGGTACTCACCTGAATATTTTAAATGTATTTAAGTTCTGGTTACATTTTTTATATTCAATTCCTGGCTTACGTTGAAGCAAAGCGACGACTACTCTACGCGCTCCTGAGAATCACGAGATTTTGCTCTGTATCTCTGTATACAAATTGAATATCCTGGATTTAAAAGAAAAAAGAACCAGCGCATACGCGAGGTCCGGCTCTATTTTTTATTCCAAGCAGAGAGAAGGATTGAAGGAGGACTTACGATGGGACACGTTCGAACGGTGACGTTTCAGGGGTTCCTATATTCTAGTGGATTAAAAGGATAGAATTTGTTTTCCTTTCTCTCTTCGTGAATTATACGCGCGTTTGAATATGTTCTCGGTTTGAAATTTAACGGTGATATTGAATAAGAAAATTACGATGCGACCCTTTCGAGTAAGTAGCGATAAAGGTACCTTCGGTTTCGCTAAGCAATTTTTACCGTTCCGACACACGAAACGCCGTTTACTCGGTACTTTCCAGCCACTTAAATCGTAATTCGCGGCCGAACGTTAACGCGAAATCGTAAAAACGAGGGACGAATATAGGGTGCTCGTTGACCGAGGTTGCGCAATGGGCACTTTGCACGTTTCCGCCATCGAATATGGATGGGTTGCGAAAACAAGTCTGGAAGAGGATCGTCGATATTTAACCCGTTCGCGCGGACTCGTAAAGGTCGAAGAAACGAGCGGATAGATAAGCAGCAATCTCGTTCAAGTTCTCGAATCGAACGTCAACCATGTTGGATTTAGTTTCCCGGTTATTACATCGTCGCCCCGCTTCTGGCAATGACATTTGCTTTAGGCTATTCACGTTCGCCCAGAAACGAGCTTTCCCCGTTCTACGGACTTCAATCCTTCCGCTATGGTTCGCGCGTACAGGTTGTTCCAAAACAACCTTTTGTTCAAAATTAGTCATTTAATCTTTGCGAAATTTCTTTCCTGCTCCAAAGTTTAGAGCCCAAACTATAAACGATTGTTCTGTATATTATTAATGATTTTTGACTTGTCAATTGAAATCGTTCGATACTTTAATCCTTTTTTACATTTTGTCCTAGAATATTTTTCGAAGTTTCCGAAAGTATCGGACGCTTATTGCTCGAACTTGGAGGCGTAACGTGGACATCGACGATAATTAAGCAAAAATTGTAATTAACGTTGATTTAATGAACGATAGTATAAGAGAAGAGAATGCATAACGATGTCTCTTCACCTCTATTTTCCAACACGGATGATAATTAAATTTCATACGCGATACTTTAGTTTGACGTATATATCGTGACCGATAATTCTCCTCGTTAATTTCGAATTACACGTGGCTGTCGACGAAACGTTTACGGTGTGGCGCGTTAATTACCGCAAAAAAATGGCTTTTCCTAAACTCGTTCAACTTCTGGTCGTTCAATCGGTTCTCGCATTTCCTCTGCTTTCGACGAAGCATGCCGCATTAACTTTTAACGAAAATTACGTTACTTTCCAGCAGCTCTTTTGTTCGAATCTCCTTTTATTATTCATTTCAATTTGTTATCTGGAACTGATACTCTTGCAAATTGATATTTCGGGTCGGAATATTTTTCTTTTAGCTTTTTTATATGTCATCCGAATGAGAAAATAGTAATATTATGTAATTAGATGGAATTGTTAATAGCGGATATTGTTACACTCGGTTATATAACATTCACGAATTTATATTTTAGGACACGTAATAGACAAGAACCTTCCATTATCGCATTCGAAAATAGAAATTACGAACGTGTAGACTATATTATTAACGGCAAAGATTATAAAAAATAATGAAGCAGAAATTTATCTTTTATTTGCAGCAACGTGCAGAGTGTTTCAAAGTAGATAACAAATGAAAATTTGCACTTACATTCGTCGCTATAAATTAATATGAAAAATAAAAGCTCTTCTATCTTGACCGCGTTGAGATGGCCGACCATAAGCCATCGAGATATTATCTCAGGGTATCCGAGGGTTGTAAAAAAATTATTCCCCAAGATTGTTGAACTCGTAAACGACCTTACTTTCTTGAAACGAGAGGAAGTGAATCCTTTGCTTCCAAAGCACGATCCTGTCTCACCGTGTTCATGACTTGTTCCTCATCCGTTCCATTTCCGTGGATCTTATTCTTTCTCGCAGTCTTACTTTCTTTTTCAATTTCAACACCGTACCCTGGTTACTTTCTTTCAACGAGATAAATTTCATTTTGTTCGACAACTAATACAACAAAGAACAACAACAATTGATTCCCCGTTGTACATGTTATATTTTCAGTTGCTCCTGTGTGCAAGGAGGATCGAATCATAGTTGTCGGCGCGTCCCGGGGCGAGTCGTTGGAAATCGTTTGCAAAGTGGAGGCCGATCCACCGGCGCACAATTTCCGATGGAAGTTCAACAACAGCGGAGAAACGTTGGAAGTAGCACCGGGCAGATTCTCGATGGAGAAGTCGAGCGGTGTTAGTGTGCTACGATACACGCCGACCACCGAGCTGGATTACGGCACTCTGTCCTGCTGGGCGGACAATTTTGTCGGTACACAGGCGAGACCGTGTCTCTTCCAGCTGGTAGCCGCCGGTGAGTATTTACCGGATCTCGGTAAACGTTACACCGACCTGCTGCTCTCGACCTATCCCAGCTTCAGTCTCCTCTTTCCTCTTCACGAGTGGTCAGGAAATCGAGTTAAAATCCTTTCTACGAGCAACCAGACCAGCCCGTTTACGCTTCCTAAACTACCACTTTTCCTATTGCTTTAGCTACATCGCCTTCCGTTGCCTCGAGTTATACCCTCGTACGCGTTCAAACAGCACGCTTTTCGGCTGCGATCAGCGAAAAAAGTCATCTGAAATACGTTGCCCCTGCTTTTACTTTCCACCATTGTCCCGCGTTGCGTTTCCCTCAGATTTCAAAGATTTCGAATGCCTCTTCGAAATCGTTGGGTATATCCGACGGAAATATTCTTCTTCTCTTGCGGAGAGAATAAAAGGAAACCGTTGTTGAGAAAGAGGACGAAGAAATCTCGACGGGAACACCGTCGACGATCGAACGAGATCAGCCGTAAGCTGGCTGGAAATAACGCTGCATGCTTCCTGTTTAGATCCGTATACGTAACGGCGCGTATTTCATTTGCATCCGATCGAATGGAAGAAACCAGCTGATTTTCCGTTGATCTCTTGAAGCACAGTCGAAATTTTCTGTTTCGTTTCAATTTCGATAGCAATTTTATGGACGGTAGAAGGTTGCGTATTAAAAGCTATTTTTCTTCTCGCACGGGCGAGCAGACGAAAAGACACGGAACAAATAGCAGAGCGGGCTGTTGCTTTAGCTCAAGAGTCCTTAGCGTTTAAATTATTCAAAGATCGGTACATTCGTACCACAGTTGGGACCGTAGCGAGTCGACGTGACTATTAACGCCTGAATTATTCGTCCCTAAGAGACAGAGATTGTTTCACCTCTAAGGATCCCTCGCAATTAGTTGCTAAATGATCCTAGATTTAGAAGCATTTTCATTTTTCAAGTATACCAATTATTTTGCAACACAATTAATTAACCGATCTAAAAATAAGTAGCGGAAACTTTGTTTAACGGTATTAATACAACCGATGCAGTCGATTAATTAACAAAGGGAGCAATTTGTACCGCGATAATTATATTGACAAACATTGCCAGATAAACATATTTATTTTATAATTTATAATCGGTACGGAATGGAAATGTGGATTAAATGAAATTAATTAATGCTTGATGATTATTAAATTGAAAATTGATGAATGAAATTTTTGGAAGAAACATCTTCGGTATTTTTCACATTTTATTCCTTTAGTAATTTCGTTGCTGTTATCGATCGTTACATCGTTATCATCGAAAGTTAATTTAAAATGAATATCTTCGAACAACGAGCAATTTTCTAAAGGACCCCCTCGGTGATGGGGGTGCACGGGGTAGGAGCGGTCAAAGTTTTGACAGATATTCGGGAATTATCGCCCTGCGTACAATGCGATGCAACCAATCATCGCACGGTAAACCGACGTTAATCCACGAACGGATTTTCACCTCTCGACCTCGCCTCGATGCCTTTTTTTCCTCTCGCGTATGATCGAGAATGACGTTGACGCGACGAACTGCCGAAAACGTATTGACGTTGACGAATACACGCGGAACCAGTAAACCCTGCTAAAATCGTACACCTTTGCGGTAGCCCGAATTTTTATCGCGATTATTCCGTCCAACGCTCGTTTCGCCAATAATACCCTGTTCTCGGGGCGAAAGTTTGAGTAGAACCTGTAATATGTAAAGAAAAACGCAAAGGTGCTGTGCCATGAATTACGAAATTTTGATATCGCCGAAAAATAGTCATCTTGTACAATGCTGAGTCTAAATGAAGTAAGAAGAAAATAGATAGTAACGAAAGAAACGAAATAAGGAGCGAAAGGGGAGGTAAATGCAAAGTGAAATAAAAGCCTGTCGAAGAATTCGCTTTCCACCCGCTGCGTCGACGGAAAATGTAGAAGGATATTTATTTTCTGCTAGCGATAGCTTGGCTGTCTGTTTAAGAGGAAAAGAAATTTTATCGACTGACAAGTCGGAGAAAAAGAAGAGGACCGGAATCACGAGTGTAACTGTGCTTTGACTAGCATAAAAGAAGAAGTGCATCGCCAGCAATCCGAGGTAGGGGAAAAAAAAAAAAAGAAGAATAGGACATTTCTGTGACCATTACTATCCCTGGTATACTAAATCCTTGCCACTCGTGGACGAGCAAACATTTTTCACCAGACTTGGGGGAGAAGCTTGATTTCCAGAGAGCCGGCTCTCCTTCTCTCTTTCTCTCTCATATACTTTCAGCCAACCTGTGGAGCGTACAAAGTATCCAGAAAATATTACCGGACAAAGTACGACAAACGAGGCCGCGCGATAACAAAAGGCGAGGCAACGAGGATCGCGGAGCGGAAATTTTCTTCGAACGTGTGAACGGAGTCTCGCGGAATACGAGTTACAACTTCGTGAAACAACGATCCGACGACAAAGAACGACCCCAGGGGGAAGTAATTTTCGTAGCTCGTTTCACCCGTCGATTGGCCGCTAGCCTGGGCACAAAGGCGGGGTAGTAATTGTTTGCACCTAAGTGGACGTGCAGAAACGGGCAACTGATTCTCCGCGTTATATTGCTAAATTAATTAACAGCTCAGAAATTGAAGTTTTCTTGCCACCTGCTACAAAAGCGAATGTTCTACAATGAGCTGTAGACTTGTGTGTGAATACGTATACTAGTAACCTCAATTTCGTTCGATTCAAAGGGTGTTATGTGAAAAGAGTCTCTTGCTACCTTTTTCTACTTTAACTGCTTAAAGTTGCATTGTCGATAATCGGTTATTATTAACACCCTCGATTTAGAATCTCGGTTATTTCCATTAACTTCAGACAGTCAGCGATGAAAAATTAAATGTATGTGCAAAAAATATTCGTTCTACCCTGTCTTTTTAAATAAAAGCAAAATGAACTTAAAATTAAATCTGAACTATACATTTTTAATTCACTGCGGCGAAGTGGAAAGAGGGGAAACCGGTGTACGAAGGTTGAGGCGATGGAAAAAGGCGCGTGTCGCGACACGATCTCGTAAAATTTTAACGACGCGACGCGACCCGACCGACCATACGGAATCATGGTATTTAAGATACGGTGTCGGGGGTTCCCTGGTTTCAGGAAAACCGTTTCCGGTACGTAACTGCACGCTAGCCAACCAGACTTACACCAGCGTCGAGGTAAAGTGCGTGGCCGGTTACGACGGCGGGCTCCCGCAAAAATTCATCCTGGAGGTGTACCACGGCGACGTGGATTTCCTCTCGACCAGCCAACCCCTTTACAACGTCTCGAATGCTGACGAACCAAGTTTCTCATTGGCCGGCTTGGAGACGACCGTCGAGGCTGGTGTTCACGTGGCGGTGTACGCGGTGAACGCTAAGGGTCGTAGTCAACCTGTCATTCTCAGCGAAGTCACTTATCGCGACGCTGAGAAACGTACCGGTAAGTAGAAAGTTTCTTATTTCCTTGTTTTACTACTTGTACCGAACGAGCATTATTTATTCGTTTTTTTTTTTTTTCTGTTTTTTTTTTAATGATAATTTGTCTCTTTTTGAATAACTAAAATTCTATATAATTCTAAACTAAAATTCTATATTCTATTTTGAGTAACTTAAATTCTATAAAAATTGCAGTGTATGTAATTAATTATCAATAAATGCAATGATTATAGCTGTAATAGTTATTCAAAAAGAGACAAATTATAATTTAAAAAAAACTTGGGAACCGTGGACCTTTAGATTGCGAGTCAAGCGTTTTACCACAGAGTTAACCGTTTGTATGTGCGAGTCTGTCATACTTCTCAATGTAAGTAGTAACTAATTTTAATTATTAATATCTTTTAAACAATTTTAAACAATCTTTTAAACAAGTTTCATTAATAAGTGAGTGTAACACTTGGGTAGTTCTCCGTAGGAGAGTCGCGGACGTTCTGTTTACGAATCGGCGATAAAGAGTTAGATCGCCGATTTGAAAGGTGCAGGTGTGTGGCCGATGACTCGGAAGTCAGGGTGCTGCATGGCAGTTGTAAAGCGATAAGGGTGTTCTAGAGTGGGGAAGATCTTGCATCTTCTGGTAAGAGAACACCCGTATACATAACGAACGAATTAGTTTAGATAAAAGACGCGTTATTTCTGAAAGACACGATCCTAGCTCTTAAATGGTGTGATAACGAGCAGGGAAGGGAAAGCTAAAGCGACAGAATGAAAAATCGTCCATCGTCCGTAAGCTTAATCGAACAAGAAGCGCGTTCAAGGAGAAAGCAAAGACGTTAAGGTTGACCCTGATCGATATAGCGAGCAGCACCGATTGCCAAGAGATTAACAAAGGTTCGGGGGTTTCGGTGGAGGCAAGGTCGGTGCTCGCTGCTTGTTCCTTTCCGGCTGGTTCCTGCGGGTTCCTCGCCGTCTCCCCCAATGGGTGGTGTCAACGACGGGCCTGCTACGCAAGATGGATCGCCACCTCTCAGGACAACACACCGAGACCAATGCACCACACCCATTACGTGTCTCTCTCTCTATCTGTGTCTCTGTATGTGTCTCCGTCTATGTATATCACCCTGCTATATACACTCTGAACAACCCCTAAACTGCTCTAAGCTACAAGCAATCCCAAAAAGCCTGCAAAAGTCTTCGAGCATTGCTATTAATACCAGCAACAAGGGTGTTAGGAAGAAAAAATTATATCGTAACTATAATCATGTAAACTATTCCAGCTTTACAAGTGGTTCACAAGTTTACAGAAATTTCTAGTTCTACAGTTAGAGCGTCAGCACGGAGGGTGAGAAGAATTGCAATTAATTCCAACAAGTTGTAAGTTTATATTTTAAGCTAATTGTTCTGCGCTTTGAGCAGTTCTTCAAAGTTCACGCATGTTTTCGAGTATTATTAGATGACCGTAATAGGAAACATAGCAACGAACGTGGGAAACAAAAAGGTACGAAGAAAAGTGATAAATATGACGAGCAGGGAGAAAAAAAATGTAAAAAGATTTGTCGCGGATGGGTGGCAGTGTGTCACTGGGTGACGCTGTGTGTACACGGTCGATCGTAAATATCAGCCGTGGCGTGGAGTTTACAACGAGGTAAAACGGAGGGCACCAAATCAATTGTCAGTAAAGTGATTTACGGTCGCGGCGGCGTCTATCAATTTGCAAGCGGGAGGATGCGAGCTCGCGTACACTAGCTTCCTCTCTCTTCTATTCTCTTCTCTCCTCTCCTTACTCGAGTTACCGAGTCGCTACGACTCCTCGTACATCAACTTCTCGACATTCAAGAACAAACTACCCTTACTTACTTAGTCCCTCTGTCCGTCCCTTTCTCTCTCCATCTCTCTCTCTCTCTTCTTGTTCCTCACCGAAACCGCATTTGATTATCTTTCGATTCGACCCTCCGCCGGCCCGTAAGGACAGAGACTCTCAGGCTACTTACCATTAAAACTACCCTCATTGGAACTCGATCGAGCGGATCCTCGATGAACAGCTCGAAAGGTGATTAGCGCGTAATTAAGACATTAGCTGGATAGTAGTAGCCGTTTAAATTAGCCGGCTGACCTTTCGCGTTTACCTCGATCTTTTATGTTTCTTATTCTCTGTATTCGAGAAACATTCAAGGTAAGATATCTACCGACAGGATATGCAGAAAGTATTTCAAAAATCTCCTCTTATAACGCTACCCTTTCTTTCTTTTTTTACCAAACGTTTGCCAGTTAACCCTTTTTCTTCGTTGCGTTTGGAAGAATACTTTCCTATTCGCCACGCAGAGGAACGAGCATCGAATTAAGGAAAGCAATTACAGATAATGGTCCCAACGGCACCCAACGCCGGAACGGTAGAGAAGTCGGCTAGTGGAAAGACGGTAGACGAAGGAAAGTTGAATGAAAAGAGACAACGTTCCAGAAGTGGAGCGAGGAGGATAGATAATGGAGAGAGAAGATGGCATCCATGAGAGATACGAATGTACAGGGTGGTCATTAAGCGGCTTTACCTTCTCTAGCTAACGTCTTTCTCGCTTCTACCCCTTCTCGTCGTAGCTCGTTCGCTCGTCTTTTTGGACATTAAGCCGTTTCGCGTGCGGTAATTTTCCCGGGGTCATTTTTGCCGCTCTTCTTGCTCCGTCGTTAACTTCACTTAGCTCTGTTTACCCCCGTCGTCATTTTTCTCTCAGCCCTCCCCTTTCCGTTTCTATCTTCTCTTCCTCTTCCGGAACGCCTCTCGTCAGACATCCCCGAAACCTCGCTCTTTCCTGCCGCTTTTTTCTTCTTCGCCTTCTCCTTCACTTTTTCCTTTCTTTTTTTTTATTCTTTTATTTTTGTGTCCTTTACCGAACGAACGAGCGAAGGCATTTTTTTTTTTTTTTTTTCCACGAACCGTAGAATATAATTGAGGCTATCAGCGCAATGGCGGCCGCACGCCTCGATGGAATACTTTTTCGTCGGATCATAGATGAAAATTGAGACGCGGAATAGCGGAAGTGATGTAAAAGGCAGCTTAGACGTGCCGCGACATGAAATTTATAATTAACGCGGGTACTCGCGGGTAGACGGTTGAAAAGGTCGTGACACGAGAACGGAGAGCAAAGAGTAGCATTCGTGGACCTGGCACGCCATAAATATTCTAGCTTCGCTAACATTTTTAACGAATATATCGTTAACCTACATATTAATATTTAAATTACAGAGACCGCATGAATTTTCGGTGGAAAATACAGGGAAAATATTTCGCGTTGTAATTCTTGGATAGGATAGCGGCGTTGTTAATGATATGCGAGTTTGTTCGAATCGATAGAGCCCCGTGGGTAGGAGTTTGTATTCTCGCGAATAGAAATTAATATATTCGAGCCGGATTGTAAATTCGTGGGAGGTTTTGAACGCTGGTTACGAAGCTTGGTTTAGCTTGAAATTGAATTACCGTTCGTAACGGTTCAAATGTCTATCCAGCGTTGCTACGTAGGATGAAGTATAGTTAAGCATAATTCGGAGACGGGGAATGGTGGCATTTTCCGTGTGGTAATTACCAGGATAGAAATATAGGTAACAGGGCCTTGGTTTCGTTCGGTCGGTTCCTTCAGGCCTCGATTGGCTGTAAATTCATAGAACGGATACCGGTGTCCTAGATTGTAAAAGCCGAAGGAACGGATACGTCGCGTCGCGTCGAGACGGACGAGGCAACGCGCGTGCTGATTGGCAAGTACGTGCCTGAACCACAAATTCAGACTTCGTCCTCTAGTTTCGCCAAGCTTTACTATCTTAAAACGCAGCTCACGGTGCATCGCGGTCGATCGATCGATCCTAAGGTAGGAAGAGAATTCAGCTGGATCACGGAAGGAGCTGAGTCAGTTTGCGAGGATCGTTTTCGTGTAATTCGCGGTTTACCAGAATTCGCGTCGCTTATGAATGAAAACGCATACGGTGGGGATTATTAATTTTCTTGGTGGTAATCACTTTACGAAACGTAGCCGGTACCGGTGCCAGGGTGGTTGCCGCTTTCAAACGAGCGAGGACCGCTTTAAATTCCATTAAAGCGAAGCTTTCCCGTTTCGGAAGGGAAACGATTATTATCGCCATACGAGTCGACCGTTAAGTCCTTAAGAAATATTCTACCGTCGCCCCCGTCTAATATATATATTCTCGAGTCGGAGTATATGTCGAGCACGAGTTATCCAGCAATTTTGCTCGGTGGCCGGGAAAACGGAAGGGAGATTCCTCAAACGGTTTGGCCACCGCCAACGTCACCGCCATTCGTAACAGGTAATGTTGCCGGAAGTATCATTACGAGCCATTCTCGAGTTCTAAGCCCGTCTCTAAATACCGGGCCCGGTATTAAGCGGAAACGACCGACCGTGATTATACGCGCGACACGACCGCTGTCCGCGTTTTCAACTAAAATCTTTCCGTGTAATACCTTGATGTGATACGATAACGTCCGCCCGGTTAAAGCCGGCTTCTTTGTTTCACCGGTGTCTGTCCAACGTGTTCTCTGCTTTGTTCGTTCAAAATTTACCTCGGGGTCGGGACAGCCATGTTTGGTAAATAAGGTTACAGTGAATTTTCCTGGGAGTGCTTGGTACCCTTGCGAAATTTCTTCTATCGCTCGATATTCGATGATTATCTAAATCGGCATACTCGTGAATATTAGGACAGGATGATCAAAGGTTGATTTGGAGGTAGATAGAAACGTCTATAAACAGATATTCTGCTGGGAAACATTCAGCTGAAAATAAGCATCTTCGAGGGATATGATTAGGAGCTATAGAGTTCCATTAGCCATTCGAGCAAACGATCTTAGAAACCTCGTGCGACAGGATTAATAACGCATTTCCAGGAGTCAGATCGAAGAGGCAACGAGCGTGAAGCTTGCCGATCGTCGATCACGAAACGAAATGATTCGTCGGGTAGGAAACGATGCCGATACGAGGGTGGAAACAGGGATGTGACGTTGACGCGTAT